AATGGATTGGAGAGGAGAAAGGCTCATAGAATTACAGATTTAGAGCCAGAAGCAACCTTAGAGGCCATTAGTCCATTTTACTGATGAAGAAAGTGAACCACAAAGTAGTTGACTTGCCCAGGGTCACACAGTAAGTATCTGAGACAGAATTTGAACCCATGTCTTCCTGACTCCAAATTCAGCAATCTATCTATCAACTGCCTCTTGAGGCAGGGAGATCAATTAGGAGAATATCACAGTAGTCTAGGTGAAAAGTGTTGAGGATTTAAACTAGAGTGGCAGGGAGTGAATGAAGAAAGGGGATAGGTGTGAAAGGTTTTATGGAAGCAGAATTAATAAGACTTGGCAACAAATTATAGATGTAGGAAGAATGAAGATAAAGTGTTAAGGATTATTCTGAGGTTGCATATCTTAGTCATAGGGCAGCTAGATAGCACAGTGGATAGAGTACTAAGCTTTGAATCAGGAAGACTCAAGTCTGTGAGTTCAAATCTGGCTTCCAATACTTACTAGCTCTGTGACCCTGGACAAGTCACTTAACCTTGTTTGCCTCAGTTCCTCATCTGCAAAATGAGCTGGAGAAAGACATGGCAAACCACTCCAATATCTTTGCCAAGAAAATCCTAAATGGGGTCATGAAGAGTCATACACAACTGAAATGACTGTACAACAATAAAAATACGTAAGTCACTGGAATGGTGAAGAATTGTTAAGTTGGGGAAAAGATGGGATTTTTAGTAAAAATGATAATAATAATAGATTCTATTTTGGAAATATTGGGTTTGAGATTCCTCCAGAATGCTCAGTTTGAAACGCCTAATATGCATTTGGTGACATGGGACTAGAACTCAGGAGAAATGCCAGGGCTGTAGATACAGATCTAGGAACCATCTGCCTAGAGATTATTGAACTCTGTGGGAGCCGATAAAGTCCCCAACAGAGAAGAAAAGCAAGAGAGTCTCAGACAGAACCTTGGGATATACTTACAGTTGAGAGAAAGACATGGATCATGTTCTTGCAAAGAGAACTGAGAAGTCTTGGTGAGTCATGTTGACTAGAATATGGATTTCTGGATTTAAAACTCACTCATTCTTTGAAAACGGGATGAGTAGCATTACCCCCACTGCTCCACAGTGTGTCAGTATGGAAGCAGCCAAGTGGTGTCTTTTCCAACCTTCAAAGGAAGGGGGTGGGGGAGCTGAGGAGCAGGAAGAGCAAGAAGAAATGTTTCTAGGGGCATGTAACCTGGGTAGAATGGAACTAGTGGGTGGGGCTTAAAATAATCTTAGAACTCTAGTCTCTTTCTCTATCTCGCTCATATTCATCAGGGAAGCAGTGTTCTTTTAATGTCCTTGTGTCACCTTCTTCTTCTTTGTATGCAAAAAACCACTGTTCGGCCCTTTCAATGGTATCTAGGTAAACCTGGAAGATGAGTGGGGGTGGAACAGGGGGTCAGGACAGGTAGGATTGCTGACATCTCCATTTGGACCTGAGTCCAAACCCTACCTCAGACAATTACTAGCTATTTGACCCTGGGCAAGTCACTTAACCTCTATTTGCCGTAATCCAAGAGAAGGGAATGGCAAACCACTCCAGTATCTTTGACAAGAAAACTCCATGGACGGTTTGGCCCATGGGTTCACAAAGAGTCAGACAGGAATCAATGACTAAACAAGTATTATCATTCGACCAATCAAACAAGCAGTTTTTAAATGCTTATAAAGTGCCTGCCACAGTGCTAAGTGCTAGGGCTATGAAGGCAAATATAGTCCCCGCCTTGAAGGAGTTTACAGTTTAATGGGGGAGATTACAAACACTATAAATAAATAAGTTCATACAAGTAGATGGAGAACAGTCTCAACAGGAAGCTCTAGCAGTTGGGAACTTGGGAGTGGTTCCTTGGAGAAGGTGGCCTTTGAGTTCAATGATGAAGAATGTTACGGAATATATTCTGTACATATTAAAGTCGTTTAAATGTATTTGCCTGTTCATTATCAAGCTAGAATTTTCCTCAATAATTCGTGTGCATCTGTCACTGTGTCTGTTTCTATCTCTGTGTCTGTCTCTATCTCTTTCTGTTTCTTTCTGTCTGTCTCTTTCTTTTGTCTCTGTGTCTTCATGTCTCTGTCTCTCTCTTTCCCTCCTTCCTTCTCTATTAAAATTACCTCTTTAGCAGATTCCAGCCTACCAGCTGCTCTTACTGCCCATTGCTGCAAAGATCCCTAAGCTGTAGATAGAGCCGGACCTAGAAAGATGTGGCCTGTTGGTGTCCTCAACCATAAAGAATGCAGCACGATCAGTTTTGTCATGTCTATGGTTTTGTTATGGTAAATACAGACCAAAGGGACAAGAGAATGTAGACTGGTGGGCATATAAGGACAAAGCTAACCTTCCACTGTATATGAACGTTATGGCTTTACAGAGAAAGACTTCCCTTTAAAAAATGTAATAATTTGTGTTTGGTTTTCAAGTAACAATTTTTAAAAAATAAATCTGCCCCTCCCAATTCCTCCTACCCCCTACATGGAGCTAATTAAAAAACAAATAACAGAAAACCAACACCCGAAGGACAAATTCCTCAACACACGTCTATGTAGTCTGGCAAAACAAATTCCCACATTAGCCATGTCTGAAAATATGTTTTTGAGAAAGACATTTGCATAGGTATTTCAGCTAACTAGCTTAGTGGAATTAAGAAGATAGAATCGTAGATTTGAGGCTGAAGCCATAAGGGGTCTTACATGTCGCAGGCTCATAAATTTGGAGCTGGAAAGGATCTTAGATGTCATCTAGCCCCACCCCCTCCTCATGTAGTGGAGGAAACTGAGACCCATGGAAAGAAAGTGAATTGCCCAAGGTCACATAAGTAATAAAAATCAGAGCCAGGATTTGAACCAGGTGCTACAAATGCAGCATTCTTTCCATGATGATCTTCTACCAAGGGCGCTGAGGGCATTTTTATAAAATGCCAACACCAAAACTTGCCCAGCAACAAATAATTGCTGTTTATGTTTGATATATTTATATTTGAAACATGTTTGCACAACTTATATTTTTCATCTTACGATTAAAAAAAATAACAGCATGCGTGGTATGTTGCAATAATATACTGTGCTTTCTCCCTTTCCCCTCTGTTATAACTGCTTAGTCTGATAATCTTCCTCTTCGACTTGTTCTGGAAGCTTGTAAGTAAGATGAACAGTGTCTAAACCTATTAAAATTTATGAACAATTGTTGTCCAACACAGAGAAAATCTCAACTTAGATTTTGAATATAGAGTCAATTGTCCTGCAAACTAATCAGTAATGTGGCTTTAGCTCTGTTTACCCAGTTAATTACTTTCCTCACTTGCTGTTATTTCTAATGCTACAAGAAAAACTATTTCTTTTGTTCTTCTCCTTTGTTTGTCTAGAAGAGAACGCTTTATTTTTTTAAAAACATTTTACTCATAATTTCCCCCCTCCTGGATCAGTGCTTTATCACGGTAGAGGGGCTTGCATCGCTCAATGGACCTATGAGCTATGCCATGCAGGGTCACCCAAGATGGACAGGTCATGGTGGAGAGTTCTGACAAAAGGGGATCTACTGGAGAAGGAAATGGTAAGGCACTCCAGCATCTTGGCCAAGAAAACCCCATGGACAGTATTGCTTGGACAGACTTTAGGAGATAGTGGAGGACAGAAGGGCCTCACATGACATGGTCCATGGGGTCACAAGGAGTTGGCCACAAACTGAATGACTGAACAACAACAACAACATAATTTTCCTCCTTAACTTTAATAAAAAGTCGTATTGAAAAATGGTTTATCTTAAAGGACCCATGGGCCCCGAATTATCTGCCATGCCCATCCATATATCATGGGAGATCCTACAATGCATCAGGTAGGCTTGTAGAGATTATTAGCAGTCCCTTCCAACATTACTTATGTTGCAAAGTCACAGATTTATAGATAAATGAAACAGATAATTATTTTCATTGAAATGTGACAAAAATTTAACAGGGTACTCATCTCCAGAGTGTTTTATGAATTGTTGACCTCCTACAATAGGTTTGTCATGTAATGAGAATGTGAGATAACAGATAAATAGGCCCAGTAATACACTGGCACTCCCGGGCGACCCAGCAAATAAAACGGGAGGCAGGCCTACAGCTCTCAGGGTAGATTCTCTGACTGCTGATGATATGTCTTCTTTGAACTGGAAGCCCTCAATTTTGGTTTTGACCTTTCAAGGTTTTAGATTTGGGGTTTCTTTCAGGAGATGACCAGTGGATACTATTTTCACTATGCCTTCTGGTTCAAATGGATCTGGACACTTTTCTTCTATGATTTCTTGAAATACAGTATTCAGATTTTATTTCTTGGTTATGGTTTTGAGGGAGTCCAGTGATTTTTAAATTATTTCCCCTCAACCTATTTTCTAGTTGAGTAGTTTTTGATAGTAGGTGAGAGCCAGGTGCGGAGTAATATAGAATCAGAAAGACCAGAGTTCGAATTCTGCCTCCGGCTCTTAATAGTTAAAGTAACTTTACCTCTCTCAGGTTCATTTTCTCATCTATAAAATGGGGATAAGAAGAATGCCACCCTCAGGATAGTTGTAAGGATCAAATCAAATGAAATACATAAAGACCTTTGCAAACCTCCAAGTGCCATGTAAATGGCAGTGTGACCCAGTGCTGAATGATTTGGGCACTCTATGATGATGTGATGATGCAGCAAGCCCCTCGTGGTCCCTTGGTCCCCCCACCCAATGATGGCTGAAGGGAGGAAGGGCACAATAGCCCAGAATCAAAGCTACATCACAGAGGATTGGTACTATGCCAGCGATAGCCAACTCAGTAGATCTTAGAAGATTCTGTCCTTTTGCTCTTTCCCCATCTACTAAGTCAGGACCCTTGGAGCTTCTTTCTAGAAAGTAAAAAAGGGGAGCTGATGTCTTTCTCCTACCCCAGGAATGTGGTAATTGAGGACACAGCAGCTAAGGACATGTCCTGGCTGGGCATCCCTGCAGCTGGGGTAGCTGAGAGCTCAGGACTTCTGGGTTAGAGTTGGGCTAAAACCAGTCGGTTGTCCACATTGTGTCTGGCCCCAGTATGGCGAGGCTCTGGACTCTGAAGTCTTCTGGATCCTGGAAAATAGGATCAATGTAGAGAAACAACTCTAAGAAGATAGTAATAGTTTCTTTAAAATTTAGTTTTTAAAATTAAATATATTTCCTCTCCCTTCCAGCCCTCCTAATCCCCAAAGGAACAGTTTCTAAAGCAATGAGTATAAATAGTAACTGTTCTGGCCAAACTCTGAGGGTCTTTGCTCCCAGATTGAAGGTAAACTAGGCCGTCTTTTGCCTCATTCTTCCCTAGCCTTTAATCACTGATTGAGTGTTGTCTCAGACAAACTGAGACCTGGGAAAAACCTCAGCTTAAAAAGACCGAGATGTCCCCCTGAATCCAGAGCCATTGCCAGTCATTTTGACCTATGTCTTGCCACTGGACTCCAATGACTCTGGAGAAGAAAGTGAGGCTGATGACCTTACATAGCTCTGCCTCACTCAAATCCAATTCACTGCAAGTCAAGACATCACCTTCTTGTTGTCATTGGTCCTCAAAGGACAAACAACAAGCTTCTAAAGCTGTAGCCCCACCTCAAAGTGTTTCTTTCCTTTCTCCTACTACCACCAGTCTACAATCACCAGTCATTGATCTGTAGTCTACAAATGCTACAGTCACCAACTACCACATACACTGGATCTCCTAGGTAACTCGGACATTCCTATTGCCTCTCCCCAACTCTCTAGGATGTAAACACATTACCCCAAACTTGACTACAAAATCTTAGGAATAGGGGCTGCTAGGTGGCACAGTGGATAGAGCTCCAGCCTTGGAGTCAGGAAGTCCTGAGTTCAAATGTGACCTCAGACACTTGACACTTACTAGCTGTGTGACCCTAGGCAAGTCACTTAACCCCAATTGCCTCACCAAAACAAACAAACAAACAAAAAAATCTTAGGACTACACCCAGGGGTGTGCTGGCAGATGTTTAAAAAAACAGTTCTCTGGGGAGAAAATGTGTGTATGACATATCTGCATTATTAACTTTAACATTAGTAAGTTTCTTAAATCTAGACCAGCCAACAGGACAATAAATCAAGTCCTGCTTTGTTTTGTTTGCCAACTTCTGAGGTATACATGTTTACACTGAAAATTTAACAAGCCCAGAGGAGCTGGCTCTCTAGCTCATTCCTGATGTGCCTGATGATAAATTTTAACTGATTTGCCACGTGCTCACTGAGCAGTATGTTTTTCCCTCCCCCTTTCCATTTATCTAAAAATCCATGTGCTCTTTGACATGTTCCTTATTATTATTATTACTACTTTTTTTTTATGTCAAGGCAATGGGGTGAAGTGACTTGCTCAGGGTCACACAGCTAGTAAGCGTCAAGTGTGAGGCCAGACTTGAACTCAGGTCTTCCTGAATCCAGAGCCATTGCTATGCACTGCACCATCTAGCTGCCCTGACATGTTCCTTATAAATGAATTTATCACATATCAATTCATAGTTCTATTTCAAGTAATCCTAATTTATCTTTTTGTTAAGTCCACATTATAGTATATCCAATTTGCTTAAAGAGAATTCCAGGTACATGCATTTTTTTCATGGTTGGGAAGAAAGAATGAATCAATCAATCAATCAGAGGAAAGAATCATTCAATCAAGCTTTTATTAAGTACTACGTGCCAATCACTGTGTTAGGCCCTGAAGGTGCAAACACAAAGAATAAGATGGTTCTTACATTCAAGAAGATTATTTTCTACTGGAGGAGACATGTTCACATGTAAGAATACCTAGGATAAGTAAACAGAGAATCAATTTTTTAAGAAATACATAAGACAGAGAGGAAGAGCATTAACAGTTAAGGGTTAGGAAAGAAGAGGCCTTACCTTAAGGTGCTAGGCAATCATACTTGTTCTGTATATGCTGAAGCTAACTTTGCTTTTTGTTTTGGTTTTATCTCTTTTTTCTTTTTTGCATTATCCATTCCTCAATTTTATGTCAGATAGTGCTTGCTTTGAAGTTGCAGTCAAATTATATCAGTCCCTTGAATCAAATAAATCTCAAAGAATGTTTCACAAGTACAAGTGACCTGTCTGCCCCCTTCTCTCCTTTCACTTTGGCACTCTGACAATCCAAGCAGATGCCTAAAGTAGATATTTTATTGTACGTGGAACAGGACAGGGAAGGGCTGCTTTGCCTGCTTCCAGCCAACTGGAGTTTTTGCTACCTTTTAGCTACTTTGGGATTTTGAATCTCTCAGCAGCTTCCCGCTGCCTGTCCGTGGTTTTGGGAAGGACTCAGGCATTTTGGGAATGACAAAGCATCCCTTATTGGCCAATGAGGAAAAACCAATGATTTTGTACCTTTAAAAAGGAAGTAATTCTGCTCTCTTTCCCCTCAAATCTCTATGTGGTAGTAGTATTCCCGCGAGGAGTAGGGGAAGGGCCCTTCCCCTGACCCTAGCAGAAATATCGAACTGCTATCACAAGGTAACTAAAGCATATATCCTAATTAGGAATGCCTGAGGCTGGGCCTGGGTTTTGGGCTACCTCTACGGTGACTATTCTTTCCTTAGTATAAGTGACTAAACAGTGATTCCAAGATGCATGTATTCAGGATTGGTGGAAATGTAAGTTCAAGGGATTTGGAGATCCTGGGTCCTCACCAGGTCCGGCTGAATTTTAGGAGGAGTCCTAAGCAACTCTTAGGACACTCTTAGAGAAGATGACTACCAGCTACAGGATGAGTTCTGCCTCTGGCCTGGCTGGTCAGAAGATAGCGGAGATTGAGAGAGACAGGGCAGACGTGAGGTGAAATGTGTTATGGCTTCTCAGCCATCCCACAAACTCATATTCAGTCTTAATCTCCTGGAGAGCATAACAGTAGTTATTCCTACTATTTATTTTATTAAGCTATTGTTTGTTAATTTAAGTATTTTTTTTCTGGCAATGTGTCATTCAACAAGTATTTATTAAGCGCCAACTATGTGCCAAGTGCTATGGTGGACCCTAGGGAGAGAAATTTGAATACAACAATCCCTGCTCCCAAGGAACTTACATTTCATAACAGTAGTTCTCAGTTAGTGAATCCTGTCTTGTGTCTTTCTGTCAATACATGCTTGTAGGTTTTATGTATCTTAATGAATACTGGGGTTATTGTGAAGCTCGGATAACATGACATTTGTGGAGTGCTTAGCACAGTGCCCTGCACATAGTAGGTGCTATATAAATGCTCATTCCCTTCCTTCCCCACCCCACCCTCCAATACTAGATTTACATTGTACATCGTATATCTTTCTACTCCTTCCTATAATGAGATCCTAGGCATAGGCCAATAGTGTGGTTAGATGGCTCAGTGGATAGAGTGCTGTACCTGGAGTCAGGAAGACCTGAGCTCAGATATGACCTAAGATACTGTGTGATCCTGGGCAAATCACTTCGTCCCGTTTGCCTCAGTTTCCTTCCTCATCTGTAAAATGAGCTGGAGAAGGAAATAGCAAACCACTTCAGAATCTCTGCCAAAAAAACTCCTAATGGGGTCATGAAGAGTCAGACACAGACTCGGGCCAAATCTGAGCTTTGAGTAATCTCCACCCCCACCCCCACCCCCCAGCAATAAAGTGGGAGTGTAATGAGCCAGAGAGTGTGAGAAAGGGAGTCTGAGGGTTTTTACAAGTCCAGACTTCCACAGGACTAAATCTAATCCAAATGGTTTGTGTGGGTCCAGAATGAAAGAGTACCTGAAGTGAGGAAAGGGTCCGTGTCAAGCTTGGGCCCAAGATGCAGGTTCTAACTGTTGGATGGCCTTCATTAATTCACAATTCTAAAAGTTTCACCATCACCTATAAGACGTGTACTTCTCTCTACAAGGGATTGATAGATTTATAGATTTGCACAAACATTCATGGTTGTGGCTACAGGTAAACATGCTGTTTGCCTTTTTAGGGGGAAAAAAAAGTGAAGCACAGAGAATGAGCAATTTAAACACGCTAGTACTTCTGTCCCCTTCTTATTGGACAAGAAAGTAGACACACCGGATTGGTGAGTTCACATGTTCCAGTCAGTAAAGGCTCCCCAGCCAGCCAACACTGGATTTAATTTAGTTGAAAGTAGCTGAGCGGAACCTATCTGAAAAAAAAATTGGGTTCCTGAGGACATTAACACAAGAAAACATCAGCTGTTCAGAACTGCATGCCTACTGACCTGCTTCATTTACTTAATTTCTCCTGGTGTGGCACAGGTATACACATTTCCAGACAAAATGGCTTACTATGGTCTGCAAATAGCCGGACTGATACTAGGAGGCATCGGCATGGTGGGGACAGTGGCGGTCACTGTCATGCCCCAGTGGAGAGTTTCTGCCTTCATCGGAAGCAACATTGTGGTTTTTGAAAACCTCTGGGAAGGGCTGTGGATGAGTTGCATGAGACATGCTAACATCAGGATGCAGTGTAAAATATATGACTCCCTGCTGGCTCTCACTCCAGACCTGCAGGCCTCCCGGGGACTGATGTGTGCAGCCTCCGTGCTATCCTTCTTCGCTTTCATGATCGCCATCCTTGGAATGAAATGTGTCATATGCACTGGGAACGATGAACAAGCCAAGAGTTTTATTTTGCTGACGGCTGGAATCCTCTTCATCCTCACAGGCATTGTTGTTCTGGTCCCGGTGTGCTGGGTCGCCAATGAGATCATCAGAGACTTCTACAACCCAGTAGTGAATACAGCTCAAAAACGCGAGCTAGGAGAAGCCCTCTACCTAGGCTGGATTACAGCACTGCTCCTCATCGCCGCAGGGACAATGTTCTGCTGCGTTTTTTGTTGTAAGGAGAAAGGCAATCACTACAGATACTCGATCCCATCGTATCACACAGCCCACAGAAGTTATCACTCAGGGAAGAAAACGCCAAGTGTGTATTCCAAAAGTCAGTATGTCTAACGGCTTATGGTTTTATTTTGGTTTCCCTCGTCGGTTGCTGTGAATGGACAAAACTGTCTACTCAGAAGGATAAATAGAATCAAAGGAGTGTTGCTTTATTATTCTTTACTACCAAACATTGATTTCACAAGCCAAACATTAGATTGTCTTTGCTAGCCCAATGGTGACAGAGTGCAGTAAATTATTTCAAAGTAGACATACTCTAACTATTTAAGGAAATATAGTAAGTAGCTTCTTTTTAAAAAGCTTAAGGCATTCATATTTTTTTCAGTTATTTCAAATAACTTTGTTCAAGATTACATTATTTTGGTTCTGACTTAATTATGATGTAGTGCTTTCTGAGTATGTGAGCATAGCATATCTCACATAAGTAAGAAAAATCTGTTACTGTTTTATTGAAAATAAAATATTAATTCATCAGTATGAATAACTTAAACTCAATTTTCAGAGAAATAGAGGGCAAGATTGAGGTTCTGACTTAATTATGATGTAGTGTCTTATGAGTAGGTGAGCATAGCATATCTCACATAAGTAGGAAAATTCTGTTATTGTTTTATTGAAAATAAAATATTAATTCATCAGTGTGAATAACTTAAACTCAATTTTCAGAGAAATAGAGGGTAAGATTGAGGTTCTGACTTAATTATAACGTAGTGTTTTATGAGTAGGTGAGCATAGCATATCTCACATAAGTAGGAAAATTCTGTTACTGTTTTATTGAAAATAAAATATTAATTCATCAGTGTAAATAACTTAAACTCAATTTTCAGAGAAATAGAGGGTAAGATTGAGGTTCTGACTTAATTATGATGTAGTGTTTTATGAGTAGGTGAGCATAGCATATATCCCATAAGCAGAAAAATTCTGTTATTGTTTTATTGAAAATAAACTATTAATTCATGACCATGAATAAATAAAACTCAATTTTCAGAAAAATAGAGAGTAAGACTGAGGAAGGTTAATATTTATTGTTTAAAACTTTTTATAGATGAATACACTGAAATTAAAATGAAGGCTAAAATGGTTTGATCACTAGTGTAAAGGAGAGTAATGGCTTTATAATATCACCTTTTTTTCAGTCTAGTTGGGTCTTGTATGTTAACATCTTTTAAGCTAAAGAATACCACTTTTGGTGTCCTGCCCTGCAGCAAACTTCATGGAGACTCCCCGAAAGGAACATAGGACTTCTAAGGACAGGAATTGGGAAGTACCCCTTTGCTACAAGTATTAATTACACATGTAACTTAATGCCCACTCCCTTTGTGGAATTTTTATGAATTTGTGGGATAGAATGCTATAGAGTATGCTTTGGCAGTGGGAGGGAAGGGAATGTTCTGAAACTTTGGATTCAGGCAACTTTGAAACTTCAGAATTGGTAGGGATTTCAGGGATGCCAGGCCAAAGCACATCTGAATAAGCATTGTGTCTACAGCCTCTCCCAACAAGTAATGATACAGCCTTTAGGGACTTCCAGTGAGAGAGGTACCACTATCTTTCATAGCATCCTTTTACTTGTTTGGATAGCTCTTGTTATTAAAAGCTTTTCTTTTTTCATGGGTGGACTGGTCCAAGTCAGGTACTTGAAGCATGTACAGATATTCTCTGCCCAGTTTCTGTCCAAGCAACTGTGTGGAAACTTGGGGGGAGCTAGTTTCTGGCCGGGGGTAAATAAGGAGCTGGTCCTGTGTGATGAGAAGGAACCATTCCAGTGTCTTTGCCAGGAAAACCCAAAACGGGGTCATGGAGAGTCGGACACAACTGAAAATGACCAAACAACAACACTGTATGATGATAAAAAGGCTTCTAATTGTCTGTGGCGCTAGAACTGATTACTTAGGACTTGCTGCGCTAGAATTGAGAGAGTATCCGAAAGGAGCTACCCATGACTTCATCACTCTGCATTTTGAGGAGACAGGACTGCTTTGAATTGCCTCCCCAGAGCCAGGTCGGGAAAGGGCCAAAGGCTGCTGTGAGTACATGACTGCTTCTGTCTTCTTTGTGTTTGCTCCCTTATGAAGTGACTGAGTAGCAGCTATGAGCTGGATGTGCTTAGGGAGCAGCCTTGTGGGTGCTGCAAGTCTGAAGAGATTTGCAAGGAGGCAGCTGGCACCTTCTCTTCCCTCCAAAGCTCAAGAATAAGCAGGGGAGAGAGTAGCAGCAACAGCACAGCAGCCTGGGCCAGCAGTAACCGAGTGGCTCAGCCTAGTAATCAATCCCCCCATCCAGCAAACATGTCATTCCTTGAAAGGAACCAGCCCAACTGAGCAGCGCAGGAACTTATCCATCACCACATGTCCTGCCCTGCAGCAAACTTCATGGACACTCCCGAAAGGAACATAGGACTTCTAAGGACTGGAATTTGCCACAAATATTATTTACATGTGTAACTTAAGTTAATGCCCACTCCCTTCGTGGAATTTTTATGAATTTGTGGGAGAGAATGCTTTGGTGTATGCTTTGGCAGTGAGAGGGGAGGGAATGTTCTGAATCAACTGTCCTTTTTAGTAAATCCCTTATCTAGAAGCTAATGGAGTCAACTGATTGATTATTGATTGGGAGCACAGTAATGGGGGCTCAAGAATGAGGGTATTAAAACCTCACCCCTAGATCACAGAGTAACAGGGCCTTCAGGGGGACTGGCCTCTCAGTATAGATGTGAGTTGGGGAAATAGCCCTGGAAGGGATGTTTTACTTTACAATGGAATGAAATGTGATTCTTCTAATGTTGCTGTGCTTAGATGAAGCAAAAGAAAACTCTTCCATGTTACAACCTTTCTATTCCTCGAAGGCAGGTATTCAGCTCCCCCCGTGTATTCTCCATGCTAAATATCCCCTATGGATCTGACTGGTCCTTGTGTAACATGGCCTTGAGGCCCTTTGGATGCTCCCAGATTTATCAATGTCTTTACTTATATGCGGTTCCCAGAACTGAACACGGGAAGGCACGCCTGGCCATAAGAAAAAATTATTCTCCAAGAGACTTGAACCCTTCAGGAAAGTACACTGTCTTCATCTAGATTTTTATAAATGAGCAGGAAGGATATGTTAAACACAGGGCTTTATGTCTGTTGATGTTTTAATAACTATTTACTCAGGCACTGGACATTTAACAACCGTGAATACCTGAAGAACAAAAAGCACCAAACAGACTTCACTTTTTATTGCTCTGAGCTTCTTTGTAAACCCTACGTTCCGGTAAATGCTATGCTGGCTTGCGGTGGCCATTTCAGTTTTGTACAAATGAAGATTTTTAAACTTTGCCTCGTTTTCGTTTGGCAAAACAGAACTAAATACAAAAAGACCATTGCCCTCTCCTAAGGCGAAAGACCTACTAAGTGCAAAAGGCCCATTGCCCCCTCTGAAGACAAAAAGACCTACTATGTGCAAAAGACCATCATCCTCTCTGTCATTTGGTAGTTTGTGGTAAAATGTGAACGTGAACCCCCACAGTATAGCATGTGGCTATGTATGTATTTGATTGACATGCTTTATAAATATTACAAATGTTTATGCAAATGCAGCTTTTTTCATTATTATTCAAGTTCTTTCATGACATAACATGGTTGTAACAAGTGGCCTAACTCAATTTTATCTTATTAAAAAGAATATCAATATCTTTTGGGTGAGGGGGAGATAATAGTGAGAAGTCACCCAAGCAAGAAGAGAGAAGTCATTCAAGGGGAAAGACGGGAGCTAGAGATAATAATGATAATGATACTAATAATAATGTGTTCTCTCATTTACTTCATCCTGGGAAGTGAACAAAGAAGGGAAAGCCTGGGGATAAGGGAGGGGACAGCATAGTAAGAGAGGAAGAAAGGGAATGGGAGAGGTAGGTGTGAGATAGATGGTCAGTTTAGCACTAGAAGAGGAGAGGAAAAGGTGACGTCAGAGAACATTCCCACGGGTGGGAAGTAAGAAAGTATATCCAGTGGTGTACTGGTAAATGTTTAATAAGAGATTCTCTGAAAAGAATTATGAACCCATGACACACTTTTAAGTTTAATCTGCATTATTAGTATTTTCCCATCACTTTCTTAAGTCTAGACAATCACCAAAGCAATAAATCAAGCCCTGATTTGTAGCATTTTCCAATCTCCAAGGTATAAATGCTCTCACTGAAAATTTAGTAATTAGCTCTACTGAGCAGGTTCACATTAGCTCCAGCCCAACTAAATATGTCTGTGATGAATAACAGGGGCCTTTTTCAAATGTGCAGATGGGGCAAAATAAAGACCATCTTCTCCAAGCAAGGGTTAGCATTAGGGTGGCCAGAAGCCAAAGTGGTAGTAATAGGGATCCAGATCAAGATATAGGATGTCTTTGCTTTGGAGGGAGGAATGAACATGGTAAAGAGCAGATTAGCTTAGATAAAGCATTTATTAAGTTTACTATGTGCCAGGCACAGTGCCAAGTGCTGAAAATATAATCAGTCCTCAAGGAGTTTACATTTTAGTAGGAGAAAACAATATGTAAAAGAAAGGGGTAAAGCGGGAGAGGAGGTAGAGGAAAGGTACTCTCAAAAGGGCAAGGTATTAGGTGAACAAGTGGTACCTGAGAGTCAGGGGCCTGAGATGGGTTAGAAGGGAATGTGGATGACATAGGCATTCTACAATGGTAGTCCCAGGAAGGAACTCCAATCAGAGCCAAGGGCCAAAAGAATAGGGGCATTGCCAGTGTGAGACGGCCACTGCCCAGGAGCTGCGAAAGTCCTCTGAGAAGTCCCTGACTGAGCAGAAAGATGGGGATGTGAATTAAATCTTATGATTCAGGATAGAGAATTATTTCCACCCATAAATCATTGCTTAGTGAGGTACATCAGAAGAAGGCCCCACCAAAACAAAAAATTTAATGAAATTAACAAATTGGAAGGGGGGAATGGGGTGAAATCTCCACATGTACTAACACAGAAATAGGATAAAACATACCATTGATATATAGTGCTCGAGGCCTCACCCAAGAACACAACAGACCTGAAGAAAAAAGATGTGACAGTATAGCCTGTGAATGGGAGAACAGAATTCAGAACAGACTAAAAGGAGATACAAATAAGGTAGAAGACAAATAAATGATTTTTTTTTTAAAAAAAGAGCACCTTACAAGAATCTCATTTAAGAGACTAGATGAGGAAAAGGGGGAAAAGTGTTTTGAAGCACACACTTACCTGGGTGGGGAAGGATCAAGAAGAGTGATACACACATGCTTGCCCACATACCTATACACATTCCTACATGCTTACATACAACATACACACATGCCTGCATGCATACATACCTACATGCATACCTGGGTCTTGCCTTAATCATCATGGCCCTGTTTTTCCTCTATAGGAAGCAAAACAGTGCCTCTTGACTTATCTACCAGCCAATTAAAAAAAAGACAAAAAATTTTAAAAATCCATCCATACATACCTACAAACATGCCTATACATATACAGAGACACACATGCATACCTACACAGGTACAATGCATGCACATATACATATATGCATACATGCACATACCCACATGTATGCACACCTACATACACAGCTACATACATACACACCTACTAACCTACATGTATACATACATACCTCCATACACACATACAAACCTATATACCTACACACATACATATATGCACACATACACATACATGCCTATATCCACCCACATATATGCACACCTATATACACTCATACACAGCTACATACACGCATACCTAAACAGCTATATACACACATGCCTACATACTCACCTACATATACACATATATATCTGCATGTATGCATACATACCTACATACCTACACATGCACACATACATATCTACAGACATACACGTACCTACACAAACAAATACATATACAGAAAGAGAAATGAGCAATTTAGGGGTTTGGGTAGATAAAGAGGAGCAAGGGTGAGGTAGGTGGGGGAGAGCTGGTGGGATTAAACAGTGTAAGCAAATTAATGGCAGGGATGAAGTACTGACTTAAAAGAGGAAGAGGATATAACCAATACAGAAGAAATAAACAGACGAAAACACAAACCTAACAATCATAATTTTACATCTAAATGAATTAAACAAATAAGACGAAATGGAATGATAAGATAACAATAAGAAAATACAATTCTACGATTTGCTGCAACATACTGGATCCAGATGGCTCCGGAGGAGAAAGTGAGGCTGGCGACTTTGCACAGGCCTCCCTCACTTAAATCCGATTTACCTGCATGTGATGGCATCACCTCCCTGATGTCATGGTCCTCTTTGAGAACAAAGGGCAAACAACAACAACAAGAAACACATCTAAAAATGAAGATATGTAGAATGAAAATAAGTCAGTGCTTATTAATTGCTTAATTTCATGGATGTCTCACAATAACTCTATGAAGGAGGTGCTACTATTTTACCTATGAGGAATCTGAGGTTCAGAGACTAGTTGATTTGCCCATGGTCACATGGCTGTATGTGAGAATCACATACAGACAGAACCAGACGGGGACCAAGATATCACCTGACTTCACGTCCAATGCTCCTTCTACTGCACCATGATACTTTTCAATCAGTGGAACTAGGTTCAAATTCTGGCTTGGTTAATTTCTACCTCCATAACCTTGAATAAATCATTCCACCTATGTAGGCCTAAATTTTCTCATCTAAAAAAGGAAAGGGTAGAATTAGCTGACCTCAGGAATCTCTTTTAGATCTAATATTTCCTGACTCAATTGTAAGTCTGTGAAACACCTCACTGTGAAGTCACCCATTAAATCTATAAAGCAATTTGGGAAATGTTGACATTTTTCCTATACTGGTTACACTAAGCTCCAGGCAGGAGAATGCCTTCCAGTTGTTCAATTGTTCAATATTTTTCTTTACTTCTGTTAAATTATTTTATATTTGTCTGTTTGTAGTACAGGTTTCATGTATGTGTCGATGGATTAACATCCAAATATTTGCTATGTAACTGGGAAATGTTGCTCTCACACGTGACGTCCCAAGAAGAACTGCCTCAGGTTCAAGGTAATCTTTGGGTCTGCAGCTACTCAAAAGCATAGCTCACAAGCCCCCACTGGTTTCTTCTCCTTTTTCTCTTCAGCTGGATGACATGATTAATTCAAAGCAAAGGCATTTAATGAATACCATAGTGAGAAAAATAACAACAAACATTCTCCCCAGAGACACCTTTTCAGTGGTAGGAAAGAACTGGAAGCGAAGTAGATGACCATTGGCTGGGCAATGACTAACAAATTGTGGCAAATGAATGTCATGGAACATTAATGTGCTGTTAAGGAATAGTAAACATGATGAATACAGGGTAACATGGAAAGACTTATGCAAAGTGTAGTAAGTAGAACCAGGAAAATAAATATACTCAAAGACTACAACAATATAAATGGGAAAAACAACCACCATAAAACAATTAAAACTGAACGTCAGAAATTTCTAAAGACTAGACAGCCCCCCAAAAGAAATTTGAAAATGTATCTCTTCCTGCTTTTTTGCAGAGGTGGAAGTCCACAGAGGTGGAACGTTGCATATAACATCAGAATTTTTGGATGTGTTGATTGGTATTACTGATTTTTTCCCCTTCTTTTTCCTCTTATAAAAAAAATCTCTGTTATAAGGGATAGCTCTATAGGAGGAGGAGGAGGGGGAATTACTGGGAGGAATATGTGGAATGTAAAAACAAAAGATATCACTAAAAATCTATTTAAAAAAAGAACTTTCCAAGGGAGAGGTAGAATGGGGTAAATTATCTCACAAAAAAAAAACAGAAAAGAAAAGTCTCTCACAGTGGAGGGGGAAACAGGGGAAGGTGAGAAGGAATGAGGGAATCTTACTCTCATAGGATTTGGCTTAAGGAGGGAATAACATACACATTCAGTTGGGTATGGAAATCTGTCTTACCCTACAGGAAAATGGGGGGGGGACAAGAGAGCAGGGGGATGATAGAGAATAGGACAGATTGGGAAAGGGGGTAATCAGAAGTAAATACTTCTGAGGAGGCACAGGGTCAAAAGAAAGAATAGAATAAATGAGGGGGCAGGATAGGATTAAGGGAAATAGAGTTAGTTTTTCACAACATGTCTACTAAGGAAGTGTTTTGCATAACTGCACATGTACAACTTATATTGAGTTGCTGGCCTTTTCAATGAGGGTGGGTGGGGAGGGACGAAGGGAGAAAATTTGGAACTCAAAGTTTTAAAAACACATATTTTTAAAAAAATGTTTTCACATGCAACTGGGAAATAAGAAATACAGGAAATGGGGTACAGAAGTCTATCCTGCTCTACAGGAAAATAGAAGGGGAAGGGGATAAGAGAAGGGAGGGAGGAGAGATAGAAGAGAAGGCAGACAAGGGGAAAGGGTATTCAGAATGCATGCCATCTTGGGGTAGGGGAGGGGTGAGAAATTTGGAACTCAAAAACTTGTGGAAGTGAATATTGAAAACTAAAAATAAAAAAAAAAAAGAACTTTCCATAAACCTACTGTAAATATACATCTCATCAGTGGGAAAGAGAGTGTGTTAATAAG